GGTCGGGGTACTGATCAACATGACTGATAAAACATATTTTATCCTTTTGGTAAAACATTCTTGAATGGGAATTGGACCACTTTCCTGTTCGGCTGCTAGGGGTCTGGTTTCTGAAGCTATGTTGCGCAGTTGCATACTGTTGACAACAGCTGTACTATTTGGAATAAACCACAGGAGAGTTCAGAGTCATCCTTGTATCTGGGTTTGATATATGGAACTAGTTTTTATAGTTATATATATTATCTTTATAACATAGTGTCCTTTGCAACTAGTCTCGCTTCTAAATATGAATGTCTTTCTTCGATGACCTGCAGCAGCGTCCCAGTATCCCTCCAGTCCCCATTATGCAGAACGAGGTGGGTGATATGGTGGACCTCTATGTCCCAAGGAAGTGGTACGTATTGATGTACTGTTGTCTTGGTTACAGTACTGTGGCATTGCAACTTTGCTCATTCTTGCTTTGTATTGGTTCCTGCAGCTCTGCCACGAACAGGATCATAACTGCCAAGGACCACGCCTCTGTCCAGATCAACATCGGGCATGTGGATGCGAATGGACTGTATAATGGCAGTTTCACCACGTTTGCCCTCTCTGGATTCGTCCGTGCCCAGGTGTTTTACCCTTGCTATATCCTGACTCCGTTTATTTGTCTTAAAGCACACAGTGTGAGTGATCCAGATTCTCCATGTTCTGATTGTTCTCACGAAATGGGTTGTTTTCTCTTTTTTTGTCTGTCTAGCTGATTGGGATAATATTTATCATGACATTGACATGCTGCCAGTAGTTTCTTAAGATATCCTTTGCGTTGGTCAAACCAGTAACTCTGTAGTATTCTCTATTCTGCACACATTAAGTCCTTGAATTTCAGCGGTAATTTTTCTTCTCAGCAAAACATTCCATGATTCCAGTAAATTAGTATTAATAGTTATTGAAGATCGTTTTGTTATTAGATCAGTAGCATGAAACTGTGTGCCCACTCAAATTGAAGGTTCATTCACTAATTCGCTTCAAACTTCTTTTATCTGCAGCTATACATTTGTTACATATGTGACACAGTTTGAGATTCTTCAGAACTAAAATGCCAAAAATAAAATCAAGCATTTGAAAATTATGATGTTTAGATGAACCGTATTAAACATCTGAATTACATATACAGATATACTTGGTCAGCTGCGCATGGGTATTGGTAACTTGACTGCTGAAACGTTTTCTATTTTGACTGGTCGTAGGGTGTATTACTATCCTTGTAGATTAGTTTTCTGTTTGCATCGGTTATTACCGTATCTTGCGGCTACTCTGTACGACGATAATGACTGATCTGATTAAGTGGTGGTGAGATCTTAATTCGTACATGATTGTTGCTGCAACTCTGTCATTGGTTCTTACACCATCTGCCTTGCAGGGTGATGCCGATGGTTCTTTGGACAGGCTCTGGCAGCAGAAGAGGGCTGAGATCAAGCAGTAGATGAGTTCTGCGAGGAAGATTTTGCTAGGATAAATATTTATAAAACCGCTTAAAACCTTTTTTGAGGAATCTGTTATGGGTGTTTATGCTTTGCCTATGAATGGTCTATGATAAAACCGTGGACTGCATGCAGTGCTTATGGAAACCTTGCTTGAAGAATCATTATATCTTTGTCCATGAATGGTCTATGTTTCTCAGACGAAACACTAAACTTGGTGTAATATGCTTCCTGGCAATGTACCTGAATTCTGAAATGCATTTTTGTCGCTGCTCTTATGACCTGTCTTGGATTATTGTGCTTGCTTTCTCCCATAAGTTGGAGAAGGGGCTGTTTGCCGTTAAATGTGTTGGATTCTATTTGGCATCAGCTCTAGAAGTCTCTTTACAAACTAAACCATCATGAAAAAACATGGGGGAGATTCATAGAAATTGGGCAAGATTCGTGTATCTAACTTTAATCATCATTAGCCAGCAACCAGTGGCTTATTCCAAACATGAATAATTCCACATATTTGTATGGCAAAATCATATGAATTTTACCTATTTCTAGCATCTTACACAAATGTGTAAAAGCAACTTGCCATGGTTGATTCTTGATAGGGAGTTCCTGTTGCAGATGTTTGATGTGCTATCTGAGAAACAGAAGGCTCACAGGAAACAACACACTGCATTTAAAACTCGAAATAAACCGTTAGAACATCACGAGCCCTTGGTAGATAAAATTGCCTAGTATCAGCAGCCAAGCAAGCTGCTATAACTGTAGGAGACACTGAGTACTCTGTGCACCACAGGGTTGTGAGCACCATCCACCCAAAGCAGAGAGTCTCACTCCTACCTTTTGTTACAAAAGTGTGTTGGGCTGTTGAAGAAAGATCCAGCCATTGGCGCGCACACAAAAATCCAGGTTGCAGCTGTAGGTGCTCTCCTACTTACAGTGGATAGTTCCTTCCTTGATGTCCCCCACCAAGCACCAATCCACCATCATCCTCCAAAGTCCAAAGGGAAGCTACTGGTCTAGGTCAGGTAGTGGGCAGAGAGCAAGCATGAGACAGTCCAGCCCCCTACTGTTGTCTTGACGGAAAGAAGGACACAAAAGGTGAGCATGTATATTTCTCAAAAGCACAGTGCATCCGCCCCAAGCATGCCCACACCTTCATCATGAAAGTGCCCTCTTCTCTTGTCTCCCTCCCTTGTTTCTCATGGTGGCAATGTGGCATCCATGACCGATCTAATCTTGAAAGTATTTTATATTTTTCTCATAGTATTACAACTCTGATTGATTTGTAAACACCGGGTGCCTCCTGTCGCTGTTTCTCTAAGTTGATTTAGCTGCGCTGTTTTTGTTGAAAAACTTTTGGAGGCATGGAGATTAGACGTAGATATTTTGTATGTAAATGATTGGCTTTAGGATGATGTTGACTCGAGCGATTTATTCCGGAGAACAAATATACGCAAAGATTTACTCCTTTTTGCTTTTGGGATGAAGATTGCTTTCTTCTTCTTTAATGCCGTGCCCACCAAGTGTTCGATAGAATGACAAAACCCCAAAATCATGTAAGGTTTACATCTGTTGAGTACAAGTTCATTTATTGCAGGTTGGCCGCTTCCAAGAGGACACCTGTGTCAGTTTTCTTTCGCAAAGTGAGAAGGTGAGGTGATCTCTCACGGGGACGAGGATCAGGGAAGGTAGGGAGGTTATACGGCAAGGACAAGGTTACAAGAGATTGTACAGCTTAACTTCTTTTATTTAGCATTGCGACTTTAGCAAAGAATCTGTGCAATGTTTCCCCTTTTCCGTACATAGTTAATGGATGAGGAGCAAGAAACCACCATAGGCAGTGCACCATATGCGGCGAGCATCCGCAAGCTGTGATAGCACACCCTTTATCCTGAGTTGACTAGAGAATATCACAAACAGCCACCATGCCTGCAAATTGTTGTGTACGCGCTTATTCCGTCTATGTCACCTTTCGGAATAGGCTAACGTATGGTACGGATTTCTTGCTTCCGTAGGGCGGAATTTGGTCTCCAGTTGACAAGGGAATTATCCATCAATTCAACATCAGCAGTAACCTTTCTTTATCTTTCAGAACAATCTGGCCTGTTATTGTCAACTAATCCTTGGATGCTTCTAGTTGGCATGCATATAGCATTGCATTTGGTATTTGATTATGGCCAAAAGTTATATTGGCCTAAATCAAGCTTGGGACCTAGTTAGTTTTGATCCCCTGCAAGTACTCATGGTGCTATAATTTACAAAACAAAGTTAAGCATGTAGTTCGACCTCATAGTGTTTTGTATTTTAGATGAAGCATTCCTATGTTGATACAACTTCTCCAGTATAATTTAGAAGTGGATAAAATGCACTCTTATCTTCGATGCTGCTCACTTTACTGTGATGCTTGGTTGCCCCTGGTTGCGTGTGATCCTATATGATGGCTGTACATGATATGTATTCTTAGGAGCATTATTGGTAACTTCAGCTTGGTTAACCGATTATCCTTGTCTTTCCATGTGCACCTGAAAAGGTCCACAGATATTTTGCGATGATGCTCAGGCCCATGGGGAAGCATCAAGTTTGTTTTTAATGCTTTCTTTTTTCTTTTTCTGCTCACGATTATGAGAACCCTTTTTTCTTTTTCTGCTCACGATTATGAGAACCTTAATATTTTGCACCACCCTTGCATAGATCTGGTAACAAGTTGCAGTATTATGCACAAGCAGAGGGCCTCTACTGTCTACTCGGGAAGAGTATGTAAGAGTGGCAGGGTCAGTCAATCCAGTGCTACTCCTACCAGGTTATCCTGTCCCTCAGACGGTGTTAATCGTTAAACAGCCAGCTATATACAGGTTAGAGCTTTGCATTTATGTGGAATGTCTACAAATGAGGATCCAGGGAAGGGTCCGACCACTTTGGGTCTATAGTACGCAGCCTTTCCCTACATTTCTGTAAGAGGCTGTTTCCAGGACTTGAACCCATGACCTCATGGTCACAAGGCAGCAGCTTTACCACTGCGCCAAGGCTCCCTCATGGTCACAACTCACCTATACAATTAAGATATGGTCTCCTCTCAATTTGTATCAGATCATACTTCATACAAAAAGATGGACCATATGAGGGCACGTTTTTTGCACCATTGCTAGGATCTTCATCTTGTTTCTAGCCTTTTTGGCCTAGATTTTATAATATTTGCAACCATGCTATCATTTATACCTGTTAATTAAGCATACTACTGTTTTTTTTTTCGAATCTCTATGTGTCACACATGTTCTTATCACTTTCTGGGATCTTCAACTTGTTTCTAGCCTTTTTGGGCTACATTTTTTAATATTTGCAACCATGCGATCATGTATACTGGTTAATTAAGCATACTACTTTTTTTTTGAATCTCTATGTGTCACACATGTTCTAATCGCTCTGTAGATGTATTTCAAGGCTGACATATCTTTACATGGTTTTGTCAAGGAAAAATGAGATGTAATTCTTAAAAGGTGCATAATGATAAACGTGTGGAGTTTCATGACACAAGACAAAATGAGGTAATGGATATTGGAGTGCACACAACTTGATAAAATTTCAGCATTTCATTGTTTTGCGTTACATTTTTCAGTAGAACAATAATAGTGCGGGTTCCAGAAATATTGAAACATACTGTCATGTCCAGAAAGATAGTAAGTGGATCATCTTACACGGGCAGATGGGCTGCACTTTCTAATTGGGTAAGAATCTCTCTTGTAAAGTGGAAATATTAAGCAGATATGCTTCTCATGATCATGCACATCGCATTATATAAGGGGCAAACAAGCTCCAGAAGATATTACTTTGAGCCCTCCCCTCCTCTTCAAGTTAAAGCCCATTTCTGATCCTTTTGCTTGTATCATGGACAATAATGAGTTAGGCTGCAAGCAAAACGACGCTCTTCAAGAGCTCGAGATGCTGACAGTGAATGCCAAGGAAGCCCAACAGCTTATACTGACAAAAATCCTTGAGAGGAACCAGGCTAGTGAGTACTTGAGCAAATTCATGAATAGATCCACAAACACATCCACCTTCAAGAGAAACGTCCCAGTAGTGACATATGATGTGGTCCAGCCGTACATCACAAGGATCTCAACTGGCGAGGATTCTTCCATTATATCTGGAGACCGAATCGTAGAACTGCTGAGAAGGTGAGCCTCTGGTTCTGTTGCTCTCATAAGCTAGCTTTCTGCATATATATGTTATAGATAGAAAGAACCAGCATATATTTTTGTTGGAAATTTATCATTCCCTGCTTCTTCTTGGACTTGACATAAGTGTCTTATGTTATTATGGGACTAATAGGAGAATATAAATATTATTGCTGCTTCTTAGTCTGGTAAATTGGTTGCTTTTTTAGCATGTACCAGGCTCGAAGTGCCAAACTGAGCTAACTTGGCACGCCAGCAAGATAAAACGTCACAGGCATGCTGTTGTAATCTGTAATTCTTGGGCACTCATGTGGAGTGATGTGTAAACAAATGAGAACATAAGATTGTGCCATTCCTCACTTGGTTAAAAATTTGACAGCCCCGCAAAGTTCATGGTACTGCTCTGTTTTTAAAAAGTTAACTAAGACGACGTGTTTAGCCATGTTATGTGTTTTTGAAGCCGTCTCTAAAAATATACAAAATCCTATATATAACATTTATTGCAAGATATTATGCCTCGGATTATTAAATACATTGTCGATTCTTTGACATGACTATATCTGTGAGACTGAACTGATTCATCAAGCATGGCTTGCTGTTAGATGCTGAGCACTGGTGATTTTGCTTTGTGGTTCTCGCATCTGAAAGCCCAGTTATTTGTATTTGAATATGGTTCTGTGGTGAAAGAAACTTGCCATATTTTGTTATGGTGGCTATCTATATGTGGATGAGACCTCACGACTCAGATAGTTAGTCTTCTCCCATTAGAAGTCAGCTAGTTTGAATTATTCTCTCTGGACAGGCTGAATGACTATTGTACTTGATGCTAATGATTCGCTATTTCCTCGGTTATGCCATTGTCATTTACCCTGATAGCTGGAGTTTATGAAATTATGTTTCCTGTAACTTCTTTGAACTGCATACCTGATACAATAGTAGATTATATCATTTGACGTTATACTATCTGTATGATGATCATGCCTTCAATTTTTAATCATTATCAATTTATAGCTCTGGAACTTCTCGGGGTGAGCCAAGATTGATGCCAGCCATCTCCGAGGATCTTGACCGTCGAACCTACCTTTATAGTCTGCTAATGCCGATAATGAACAAGTAAGCCTCTGTTTCTTATCCAACCTTTGCGGATCATAGCATATTAACTGTTAATTGCGGGCTGTTTTGTCATTTCTGAAATTCTTGTGGTCAACTGCTTGACTTAGTATGTTACCTGAATTTTGGCATAACCTTGTAAAAACTTTGTGAACATAACTGGCTCACCTCTATATATCTTGAATTAGTTTTAGTGCTCGTATTCCTGGCTGTATTCATCTCTAATAAACAGAGCCATTACACATGTGTGTTCTGCTGTCAAATTTTACCTTGCGAGCAACAATTCACTCCTTGGCTCAATCTGCAGGTATGTATCAGGCCTTGGTGAGGGGAAGGCCATGTATCTTCTCTTTGTGAAAGCGGAAACACTGACGAATTCTGGCATTCCAGTTCGATCAGTCCTCACTAGCTATTACAAGAGCCCTCACTTCCTGCGCCGCAAACATGACTTGTACAACAACTACACCAGTCCTGATGAGGTCATCCTTTGCCCTGACAGCCAGCAGAGCATGTACTGCCAGCTGCTCTGCGGCCTGGTTGAACGCCAGCATGTCCTCCGTCTTGGGGCAGTCTTTGCCTCGGCGTTCCTTCGGTCTATCAGCTTTCTTGAGCAGCACTGGTGTGACCTTGTCAATGACATACGTATTGGTAAACTCAATCCCAATGTCACCAACACCGAGTGCCGGTTGGCCATGGAGGGCTTTCTCGCATTGCCCAACCCGGAGCTCGCTGATGAGCTTGAGGAAATCTGTGGCTGTGGGCCATGGAAGGGGATTCTAGGCAGGCTATGGCCTAACGTCAAGTACATCGAAGCTGTTCTTACAGGCACAATGGCACAATACATCCCCATGCTGGAGTTCTATAGTGGTGGTAGGATTCCCTTGGTATGCACTATGTACGCCTCGTCGGAGAGCTATTTTGGTGTCAATCTGAGGCCACTGTGCAAACCAACCGACGTGTCTTACACCATCCTCCCGAACATGGCCTACTTTGAGTTCATTCCTTTGGAGGATGGCCTCAGAGTGACGGATGATGAGGAGGTGGTGGGGAATGACAAGCTTGTCAGCCTGGTGGATGTCAAGGTCGGATGCTACTATGAGCTTGTGGTCACCACATTTTCTGGTAAGTAGGCCTCCTGTAAATATCTAATCATAACAGAACTATCTAAACTCCTGTAAGTAGTAGGTTGAGAACCAACATCAACTCTTGCTCCAGAATATATTTGAACATAATTTAGGTATGTATAGTTTGATATTTGACCACTGTACAGTCAAAACCTCATTTTTTTAAACATAATACCTATTGAAGTTCATTTACTTTGGCTTAAAAATCCTTGTTAGCTGCAATGGGAACGAATCGGAATTCGGAAACTGGCAGCTCTTCCGCCGTTGTACATCAGAAAATAGAGAATTTCAAGTAAATGATGGATGCCAGGACGATAAATTTTAGTGACAGCCTGCTAGCAAGGGATATGAAATAAGACTCCAGGACGATAAATTTTAGCGACAGCCTGCTAGCAAGGGATATGAAATAAGACTCCAGGACGATAAATTTTAGCGACAGCCTGCTAGCAAGGGATATGAAATAAGACTACGTGTACACATGTGTCAAGAGCTCTGAAGTTCTTCTATTTTTTGGTCCAGGCCTTTACAGGTATAGGGTTGGCGATGTGCTTCAGGTCACAGGCTTCTACAACCGTGCGCCGCAGTTCAAATTCATCTGCCGGAGAAACGTGATCCTCAGCATCGACACCGACAAGACCAACGAGGAGGATCTCCACAACAGCGTCACGCGTGCCAAGAAGATCCTGGAGGACAGAAACCACATCCTCCTGGAGTACACCAGCTACCCAGACACTTCCACTGTCCCTGGCCACTATGTGCTCTTCTGGGAGATCAAGTCCACCTGCGAAGGCGTGCAGCCCCTCGACCCTCAGCTCCTCGAGAGCTGCTGCATCTCCGTGGAGGAGTCGCTCGACTACATCTACAGGCGCTGCAGGGCGCACGACAAGTCGGTAGGCCCGCTGGAGATACGGCTGGTCGAGGCCGGCGCGTTTGATGCTCTGATGGATCTGCTGGTCAGCCAGGGCAGCTCCATCAACCAGTACAAGACCCCGAGGTGCATCGAGTCCGGCCTTGCGCTGAAGCTGCTCAACTCCAAGGTCACTGCTTCCTTCTTCAGCCCTCGGGATCCTGAGTGGACCATGTAAAAGCTTTCAGGTAATGAGTAGTAGCAAGTATGGTGTCTTGATCGGTACTGAAAAGGAAGAGCATGTCTAGACCGTATGCATTGTGTAGCTCTGAAGTTCCCAAGTTAAATTTGCACTGCGTAGTAACTTCTAACTGAAGAGGCATGGAAAGCTTGCCTGGAACAGTCTGATCTATTGCAAAGAAACAAAAAGGAAATCCTTGGCTAGAACTCACACGCAAATATAGAATTTATGTGTTGAAAGTTGAAGCAGCTCCCTTGTTATATGGTTATCGGCAGCGAGAAACGAACAGCTCGGTCATTTTGCACACACCGACTAATCTGAACTTGCTGCGTGTATCTTTGCAGGGAGGGCCTGGGAGAGCTGCATATCTCCGGTCTGATCGTACCAGCCCGCTGCTTGGATAACCCTATAACAGTATTTCTGCTGCTTGGGTTTTTGATTTTGGAGAACTACCAGTACTAATTATAGCGCTTTCTTGTGTTATTACCCAAGCCCTAAAGCAGAATGAAGTACTCCCTCTGTAAACAAATATACGAGCGTTTAGATTACTAAAATAGTGATCTATATGCTCTTATATTTCTTTACGGAGGGAGTATTTGCCATTTTTTTGCTACTCATGTATTATGATTGTTCATCTCATCATCTGAGCTCCGAACTGAATGGTGATACTATTATAGATCAAGGACGCTGCACAAACTTGTACTATTTTTTTTTTCTTGAGTGATTGGGCCTGCGTCCTTGGTCATGTTACGCCAACTGGGCCAACGGCCTTCCCCGGCGCGGAAGCTCCTTTTGGGCCACCAGTCCGGTTTCGGCACCTCCTGGCCCAAACCGCTGCCCAACATCATATTTCGCTTTGTCCAAGGCCACAAACTTTCAACCCCGGCAATCATGCCCTTCATCATTCCATGTCAATCTTTCTTCATTGAGACGAGGCTGTGCTTTCAGCTCCATGTCAGCTTTGCACTGCACGGCATCTTTTTCCTGGATGTAATGAAGCCATTGCCGTTTGCCAATCACGTCTCAGGCTGAGATCTCGCCAATCACCTCTCGAGGTGAGAATGAGAATGAGATCTCTCCTCACTCACTCATCAGCTGCCTGCTTTGCTGATGCGTGTTCTGATCATTGCATATTTGCATATTTGCATTATGCTTGGGCTGGCCACCCCGCGTAGTACTGCTATTTACTGTAGTACCTTTGGCATCAAAAAAATTGAGTACGGGTCAATTGCTTTGCTTGCACATGCATGCACTGGCTCGGGGTTCCGGCCTGCTGCACCCGTAGCATTCCTATTTGCAGCATTTGATACTACTAGGAAGTAAGTAAAGGAGGCATGTTCACTGGTCAAACCGTATGCTCATGGCTACGATCGACTTGGGGGCATATCGTATCCTTTTGTGCTGTGCATCCACGTCCGGCAGGAGAGGTGGAATGAATGATTCCGAGATGAAGGACGTAGGTCTTTTGGGAAGGGAATCGATCTAATCTGCGTGCCTTGTGATTATAGACCACACGACCCACATGCACACTATTACTAGTACAGTAAGTACCTAGTGCTGCAATTAATTGCTTCAGGGAGCAACAACGTTGTACAGTGTACAATGCATCAAAGTCTTGTCAGCGCGGATCGGTCGGTCGACCAGCCCCAGATCTAATCTAACAAGAAAAGATGGATCTTCCCTGCCGTGTCAAACCTGATTTTTTTTTGAAACAATGATGATTTTTATAGCAAATTCGAAAACTATACATCCTAATGGAGAAAAATCAAAAGTATCACCCGTCGGCCTCCTGTTGGCCGAAAAGGGACTTTTCGGCCTCTCGTTGACCGAAGAGAGACTTTTCAGCCAACCGTTGGCCAAAAAGGACTTTCCAGCCAACCGTTGGCCAAAAAGTACTTTTCGGCCAACAGTTGGCCAAAGAGTCCCTCTTCAACCAACAGTTGCTCTACTTCTTAAAAAATTCATATTAAATAGGATTTTTAGTATTTAAATTTGATTTTTTTTGCATCAGATTAGAAATTTTATGAAGTTTCTGTAGATATCAAGTTTGACTAGATTTGGAAGTTTGAATTTGAATTTTCTCAAATCACTAAATTGCCTATAATTTGAGCTAGGAGTATTCTTTTTAGATGATTCTTTTTGCTACTGGTTCTTTGTGACTTTGTTTATCAGTAGTAATTAATTGGTGAATTTTAGGATTATTTAAAATTAGGTTTTTACGCCATTCTCTCCCTCCATTTTCTCCCGCCATTTTATTTCCCGCCATTCTCTCCCTCCATTTTCTTTCCCGTCATTCTCTCCCACCATGTTCTTTCCCGCCATCTTCTTTCTCGCCATCTTCACTTCTCAACTTATAAAACGAGCCTCATGGTGTCCACGATCGTAGATAACATCGTCTGACACGGTCCGTGTCTCCTGCATCGGTGCTGCTGGTGGAGTGTGAAACACTGTCTGAGAGAAGTCATAAGTGTTTGTAGCTTCGTCATCATCATCGGAGAGTGTTTCACACTTATGACTTCTCTCACACAGTGTTTCACACTCCACATGAAGGCATCATCGTCATCCTCCGTCAATGCAGCACTCCTTAGTATGGCGGGAGAGAATGGCGGAAAAGAAAATGGCGGCAAAGAAAATGGAGAGAAAAAGATTGCGGGAAAGTATTTTTTTCATGTATAAAACGGCAATGGTTGTACAGGATTTACAAGGCACTTTTAAATATAAACTCCTATGAAGCTCAAAACAAGTTTTCTAGTAGGATAAAAGAAATAAAATACAAAAACAATACTACAAATAAAATAGCTACTGATAACTAAACAGAAACAAAAAGAATATGTCAAAAAACTAAAGGAAAAATTAAAAGCAATTAAAATTAAAAGAAATAGCATAAAACCTATAAAACACTAAAACAGAACTGTTTTCATAAAAACCTAATTTTAAATAATTATTAAATTCGCCAATTAATTACTACTGATAAACAAATTCACAAAGAACCAGTAGCAAAAAGAATTATCTAAAAAGAATACTCCTAACTCAAATTATAGGCAATCTAGTGATTTGAGAAAATTCATGAAAATTCAAATTCAAACTTTCAAATCTAGTCAAACTTGATATCTACAGAAACTTCATAAAATTTCTAATCTAATGCAAAAAGATTCAAATTAAAATACTAAAAATCCTATTTGATATGATTTTTTAAAAAAGTAGAGCAATTGTTGGCTGAAGAGGGACTCTTTGGCCAACTATTAGCCGAAAAGTCCTTTTTGGCCAACGGTTGGCCGAAAAGTCTCTCTTTAGCCAACAGGAGGCCGAAAAATCTCTTTTCGGCCAACAGGAGGCCGACGGGGTGATACTTTTGATTTTTCTCCATTAGGGTGTATAGTTTCCGAATTTGCTATAAAAATCATCATAGTTACAAAAAAAATCGTCAAACCTAACATAATTTGTCATCATCAAGCTGTTGGCAACACTGTACAAGGAAAGCTTACTGTCGTGTCCCGGGCACGGCCGGGAATTTCGGTTCGGTTCCATCAGGCTTAAGGCAAGAAAAATCCCCTTAAGAACACTTGACTTAAGGCAGCTAGAAATGGACAGGCACGCAGCAGGACCTCTTGCCGATCATCATTCATACTCATGCACTAGTACGTACGTATAAAAATTCAGACACGATTTAGACGAACGAACGAACACAGTCGCGGAAGAGAAGGGAGCGGCGTCAATGCGCGCATCGGCCCTTCGCCAGCCTCTGCGCGCGCTCTGCCATGCCGTCCATCGGCATTGAAGCCGCCTGCCAGGCTTGTCCCTCTTGATGGATGGATCACGGGCGGCCGCTGGCGCTGTAGCACCTAGCTAGATCCTCATCATGCATGGGATGGTTTCATCACGCATACGTAGTACGTTTGCATCTGCTGCAGGGCTCGCAGGAGTGGTGGTACCGTCGAGCACGCACAGGCCCTCCCGCAAGAGCCACACGCTAGAGAACAAATCCCATGCCGCAATCGATGCAGGCTCTGCCACCAGCGCGCGCGCCAGAGCGCGCTCTGACACGCCCACCTGCGCGCCATCAATTCCCCTCCGTGATGTTTCTCGCCGCCGGCCGGCCGGCCCGCTCGCCCGCTGCTGTGCCCTCTCGGCCGCCCCGCCCCGCCCCGCCCGCGCGTCAGGTTCGGGACAGAGCCGCGGCGAGGCGTGTACGAGTACGTAGAAGTATACGAGATTCTGCTGCGCGAGCGGAGCGGTCAAACTGCGTGCGGAACGGCGCCCGGCCCCAGGCGCGCGCGCGCGTGTCGTTCCGCTTGGACGGATCGGGCGAGCCTGCGGCGCCCCACCTCGCCCCGAGAAGGTGCACGGGGGCGCATGCCGACGAGATCAAGAGACGGCGCGGCGGCGTCCGACGCGTGTCAGTCAGTCAAAGCCGCGGCCGGGCAGCCAGCCATGCCATCCTCCGGCTCCCCGGGGATCCATCGGACGGCGGCACAATTGTTTTACTCGTCGACTCCACGCGCTGCGCGCCTGCACAGTGCACGCGGCGCACCCGTGCTGCCCGCGACCGCGACCAGCTAGATCCCGTTAGGATCGACTCCTGCGCCGCCGCAGCGTCGCTCGTACAACGTCCACGGGTATGACAACATTCGATTTCGACGTCAAGCGGCGTATAGTGTAGAGAGAGCTTTCGTATATGATGACTGTCCGTCTTTTTTCCATGCAACATGTCTATAGTGATGCGCAGACGTTCAGAAAACAAAATGTATCACACAACATTCTTCAGAAAAGGATGTCATTTTTCTCTCTTTGCCGGGGCCGTGTACGCGTTGAAGAGCGCACGTTGTACGCACGTACTGTACGCCGGTGCTGCTTTGTCTGACGTACATGAAGAACCCGCTGTTCCCAACTAGTAACAGTACACGACTGCATCTCTAATTAGTACCGTCCCCAGTACTGTCGCAGTTACAGCCAACAGCCCGGGAACCTCCATTCATGCCTCTCGGAGGTACAGTGTC